TACCTTAAATTGAGTTATGCAACTAGATGCTTAAAATTCAGTAGAACATAAGCCACACAAAGACAACTGCCTACAATTGTGCAGTCTAGAACAGGGCCCGGCATATGGTAGGCACCTGGTATGCATTTGTGGGATACAGCAAAAGGAACAAGGGAAGAAAAATGAAACCCTGAAATGTTACAAAAATAACAAAACAATGGAAACATAAGCATACAAGTAGCCATGGTACAGTTTATGGATTAGCAGAAGTCCAGTGGACCCAGTAGAAAACAGTTAAGAGTCCCGGTACTTCGGAGTTTCTAGATAAGCCATACTATTTTCTGCTTTTGTGATTGATCTATATAATATCTTTTTCTTCACATATTCAGAGGATACTATGTGACCTTAAGAGGAAAAGGGAAAGAGGAAGAACAAAAACATAGTTTGGGATGTAATGACTTTCTATGAATGTACAAAAGCCAAGCAAGAGACAAGAACAGAACAAAAGCTTAAATCAAGCTGTGAGTAGCAGCACAGCCCTACAATCCAAGCTAGTCTGGAGGCTGAGGGAGAGGATCACAACCTGGGCAAATCACTGAGACCTGGCCTCAAATTAAAAATTAAAAAAGTCTGGAACAAAGCTAAGAGCAAAAGGCCATGGATTCCACCTCCAGTACGGGGGGGAGGGGTAAATAAAAAAAACAGCATACTTCTTACTATTTTTTATGTATGTTTGTAATATATAGAAGTACCAGTCTGTATTAAAAATAAATGAAACTACATGTGAAAACACACATAAAGATACCTTGGTGTCTTTATATTGATATATAAAGCCAGAATGGCATACTTTAAACAATAAGAAAAATTGAAAATATAATTGGAAAGATGAGCTGGGAGAAGATGAAGACAGAGCTGGACATCACTAAGGGACAAGGAGGAAAAACCAAAGCAGGATGAGTAGGGAAGGAAGAGGTGAGCCATACAACCATCTGCTGTGTGTTACGAACAGCTCATCTGGGCAACCCAAGCTGCTTTCAAAAGCAAGTTGAATTCTGCACAGATGATCAATAAAAAAGGGAAAGACCACCCGCACTAAAACTGAATAAGAGCAAAACAGGAAGGTGAGAAAATCGAATTCTGGTGACATGAATTACGCATGCTTACAGTGGTCCCTCTTGAAGTACTTGCCTAATTAGCACTAAGAGGCCCTTTAAACCACCAGCATGTCCAGCTTTAACTCTAGAACAGGGCTGAAATGACAGAAGATGATAGCTCTGTATGAGCATATTTAAATTCCAAGGGACAGGATACTACTCTATTTAATATTTATATTAGATTTCTTAAATTATTCAGTTCAGTGAATTTTAGTAAAACAGTTTCACTTATCACTTCAATTATTTGAGCCAAATTAGGGCATGTTCAGTTCTTTACTGTTTTACATATTACATGCTTTAAATAAGTATAATTAAACTGGAGATGAGTTATTTGAAAAAACTCTTCAACTACCTTCAAGCACAGTCATGAGAAACAAAGACAAGGACCCACTGGATTTAAAATGAGTGCCACTTGCGAACACAAGAGAAGAAATTGTTTGGAATATTTGATGCAAAAGGTGCTGATCTTTTGCAGATGGTAGTGATTCATATTGTCACTGTGGTAACTATGGTTTGCCATGCAACCCAACAAAAAGATTGAAGACAAAGCAAAGCACATTTGGCCTAAGATGAAAATACCAATATATTCTCCTATCCAAGAGTCTGTTGTCAAGCAGGGTTCTTTGTCCAGAAAACAGTTTCTTTTAAGATGGTACCATAGTATCCTGGCAAAAGTCTAATTAACAGGGTTTATTTTTTTTAATGGTAATCTTAAGTTTGCAACCTCCCCATAGCTAGTCTTTTACATATAAGAGGATAGGAAAAATTTTAAAGCCAATGCTGAGAAAACAAATTAATGGCCCAGACTGGGGCTACAGCTCAGAGGCACAGTACTTGTCCAGCATATTGAAGGCATTCAATTTCATCCTCAGCATCTCAAAAAGAACAAAAACAAAAGTTCCAAAAAACAAATTGATGGTTCAAATATGAATTCAGTGCAAAATCAAAACTTCATTCATATCAGAGTAATATAATCATTGTCGGGCTGGGAAACCATTAACTAAACACAGAAAAATTTCAGAATGTATATTCATTCCAGTCTTACATTTCTTGATAACTGTAAGTATGCACAGATTAATATGGTGAACTCATGGAATTATATGACAGAAATACCCATTTTATATCAAATCATAGCCACTACATTTTATAGGCAATTTACAATGCTCTATGTTGTCATTTATTATAACAAAGACAAAGTATGTTATAATGACCAGAGTCATTGAAGAAGAGAATAATTCTAGTATTTCTAAACTAAAACCCTAGTAGGATGGGGGAGACTGGTTTGGGGACTAAAAGCAGATGCAATTACTGGGATTATTGGTCTGCTACTCTCAGGCTCCAGGATGAAGAAGAATCAATTAGCCCTTAACAGTCTATGACCTTGAAGGCTGCAGCTCTGTGCAGATCATGCTGAGTATACTGAGACAGAAGGAAAATGAAAAAAGGAGAATAAAGTCCTGAAACCACTGCAGAGCACGCTTCAGATGTGACAATGCCTTTTAAAACCAGAGTCAAGACAGCTGACTTTATGTCAAAGACACGCACGGGGAAAAGAAAGTTCCGCTGCTTTCTGTAACTAAACAATGCTTTCACATCCAAAACGAACACAAGATGTTGCAAAATGACAATCTCATTGCAAGATCTTTTTGGCATTATTTTATTTAATAGTCATAACCTTTTTAAACAACAAAAACAACCAATCATAAGTCTCTAAAAGTAGAACTGCAAACACCCACCCCAAACAAAAACAAAAATTTTACTTGCACTTTTAGATTTCTTTTTTAGGTACTACTCCAAAAAATTAACAATTTTCCACACAGAAAACTATGTGGGACTTCAAAATGTTAACCATCTGTGTACCTCTAACTTTTCAGAGAAAGCTCCTTCCCAGGCTGCTTATCTCTGATGCACTTCAGAATGCTACAGCTGTGTCTCAGCCCCTACGATGCTTTTAGGCAACAGTAAATCTTTCCTACTTATTGAAAATGCCACAAAAATCAATGTCCTGGCTTAGAAAAAAGCAAGAAAGAAAAAAAAAACTGTATCAGATGTGCACTCTATTAAAACACTTCATAGAAGAATTTCCCTTAAAAACAATTTCTCAAAACTTGACAAGTACTTCCTAACAGAGTCTTCGACCAGGAAAACGTGCTGCATGTTTCTTTGTTTGATTTCATCAGATGACAAAAATAATAGAATTTAGCTGAAGAGTTTTATTAAAGAGCCACCATTCTTTCGCTGGACAACTCAACTCAACCCAGGCATATTTGCAGTAAAGATTTAAGTTTAACATGATAAAGAAGTAACCTTGTCTTTACAGTGACTTCTGCTGCTCTTTGCAGGCTCTGCACTTGCTTTTTATAGCCCGTCATTTCATCTGGGTACTATTTCCCGGTCACTCTGCCAGGTGGGAAGAGGCAGCGAATGCAGCGATGTCTGTCAGAGCTTTAATGATACTTTGGGGATTTGATAAAGATACAAAGCAGTGCATGGAATGGAGGTTTTTCTAGTCACACCTGGAAAAAACAAACCCCTTTTTTAACGTTTGCCACTGAAGCTGGTGTATAGGAAAGGATGGTCAGTCACAAGCCCATATCAATTTTTTTCTGTTTCCACGCCACAGTGGCTACTTCGTGCTTACTCTCTGGAGAGGGATTCTCTGTTCTTCACTACGGTCCACAGGGAGAACGGTGGCAGGATTTCATCACCGATGCTCTACCCTCAACACCTCTACCTCGGAGAGATTTCAGACACGTTACTAAGAACCATATTCTCTCATCTTTTACTTTTTGTTTGCTTTTATCAATGACAGAAAGGTGATGGGAGATACAACAAAAACAAAGTAGAAACTATTTTTTAAAAGAGCTCCAAAAACTCTTCTCTGATATACTGAGGTTGGGAACAATATAGCTGGTCGTGGTTTCATCCCTGTCAACTTTCCATTATGAAGCTAATGCAGTGACCCACTGCAAATGGTAAATGTACTGCCCAGGACTGTTTTAAGAGCACGGAGACTGTTCACTCCAGGTTATTAAAGCAGGCTGCTGCAACCTGACCCAGTAAAATGACATGTCTGGAAAAAAAAAAAGATATAACTTACTAAAAGACCTTGTACCTTTTAACGACTGCTGAGGAAGCTATTTAAACATTTGATTATAGAAGACAAAACTAATTCGGGAAAATTCCTTCCCGCAGAATTGTGATACGCCTTAAACAAAATAAATTGGCTGTCACAAGGGTTCAGTCACTGAAAGTACAATCTGGGCAGGGTAGCAATAGTTTCAAGCTGGGGAGAGGTGAGCATTGTAAATGTCTTGATGCCTGCTGCACTGTCAGGAAGAAATCCTGAAAATACAAAGGTGGGGAGAAAGGGAGCACAGCAAAAAGATGCATAAAGATAACAGGCATGTTGCGCTGCTGGGAGATAGAGGGTAACTAATAGGCCATAGACTGTGTACAATGAGAGAAAGAAAGACAGCAAAGAATACTTATTGGTATATGGGTGTCACATTCCTATAATAAACAAGGACGGTCTGATGTTTTAATTTCTAAAAATGTTAAGAGATGAATTTAACTTAAATTTAAGCATGACTTGCAGATGCTGAAGTTTTTGATCCCCAGCCCTTGATTTAACAACCCAGCTAGAGGGAGCTGCTACCAGAAGACAGCTTCAAACGAGTAGTTTACAGGATTTCTTTTTTACCAGTCTCCTCAATGCCACCCCAAGCCTCTCAGTCACATGATTTGCTCAAATAAAACCATGTAATTACAATGCAAGAAAGAAAGCAGCTCCACAATCTAGAAAACACCTTTTGGGAGCCCGAGCCCACCCTTTCCATTAATTCAGCATTGTCTCTCTCTACTTACAAAGTTTAGGAGCAGTTTGGAGATTAGTTTCTGTTGTCTGTGGCTGAGTCGCCGACTTGGGTGTTCTCCCCTCAGGGAGCCGGGTGGGTGAGGGGAGGAATGGCGCAGTGGATGGCAGGAAAGAAAAGGCAAAAATACGATTCTTCGGGGTGGGTGCAGCTGCAGCTTCAGAGGACGCAGCAGCGTTGTCAACTTGCGCGGTAACTTGAACCTCAGTTTCAGATTGAGCCCTAGAGACAGGTGAAGGATCTGCCTCAGATGAAACCCACACAGCTGAGGCAGCAGTTGGATCCAAAGAAATAATAGGGTCCTGGCCTAACCCCCCAGGGTCAAGGTGAGTAGGGGAGTCGTACTCAAATATCTTGTCCACAAACACCCACTTGAGGCCGGCAATGCAGAGGCAGAGGCTGACCAGGCAAGCCAGAATGGGGACGATGCAGATTTTCTCTGAGTTGAGGCAGCCTCTCAGGCGCTCTGTCTCCAGGTACACACAGCAGGGCACGGCCAGGCCCACGAGTCCAGGGGGGCTCCCGTCTTCTGTCTGGGTCTCTGGCATGTCTTCAGCTGCCGGAAGTCCATCGAGAGATGGGTCTTCACTCAGTTGAGTGGAGGGGCTGGAGGACCTCTCAGCAGCTCCCTCAGACATGTCTGGGGAATAAATCTCCATCGGCTCCCTCCAGAAGGCCCAGCCTCTCCTCTCACAGTCCATTACCATGCAGGCCCCCCCCCAGGAAAATGATACAGCATCTTCCAGAAGGAAATCGATAAGTCGTCCGAGTCCAAGTCCAAGGCCATTATCAAAAGCAAGAGGAGTTCAGGAGGAAGAAGTAAAACAAGAAAAAAGAAAAACAAAAAGCTCCCAGCAACTACAAAATCAGAGTATGTTATAATAATTCTTTAAGTGTCGTTTTGGGGCCACTTTTCCAGTTCTTTTAAAGGCTTCTCCAAACCATCCCGGCTGGTGAAGAGGACAGGATCCAAAATCAAAACGGAGCCAGCTGCTGGTTAATTAAGTAAACCAGTAGCCCAAACTGAAAGGCACGGTTCTCACCTCGAGCATCTGAAGCTGGTGTCTGCTTAGATGAAGAAAACAACTGTCATGCAGCAGAAGTAAAAGCAAAAGCAGGACCGGCGGCGGCGGGAGCAGCAGTGGCGGCGGCAGGAGAGGCAGCAGTGACAGTAGCAACAGCATCCTGTGGTGTTAAGCAGCGGCCGAAAGGGGCTGAATCATTACAGAGCAGCAGGTGCCTGCCCTCGGAGCATCACTGCGAGGACCATCCGGCGGCGGCGCGAGCAGCGGCGGGCGGGGCGGTGACTCCCTTCCCCGCCCTGCCTCCACCCCACCCCCAACCACTCCTCTTTGTCCTTCTGGAGCGCTGAAGTCACTTTCTTCCTTTGCCGGCTTCCTTCTTCAGTCTCTCTGTCTCTCTTCTCCCCTGCCTCATCCCAGACGCATCTCTCTCTCCCTCTCCCACGGCCCTCACCCTCTACCCCACTCTAAGCTGCTGCTGGCCTGAGTAAAATCAGGACTGTGTACTCAGCAACACAGGACGGCCAGTGACTTCCTATTTCATCCAGTTAGAAGGAATAACGGCCATGAAATCACAGAGAAGCAGGCAGGCCCCAGTGAAGCCTGATCCCATGGCCCCCACCCCTTGTCTTGTCTTTTCTTTCTCTGCGAAAGCAGCCCCAGTCCTCCACCCCACCCCACCCCGACACACACGCCCCTGTCTTGCTTGCTTTCAGTCTTGCTGGTTCTCTTCATTCACCCACTGCTGGGTCAGAAAAAACCTGGAGATCGATGCCAGCAATCTCCCAAAGCTGGGCTGGGGCAGGGGTGTAGGTGGGGTCTTATGGGTTGGACCCGAGGCTTCGAAGAAAAGTCTGATATCTGATGCCTCCCTGGAGAGAGGGAAGCCTTTCAACAGCAATTCCTTCCTGCCTGCTGCCCTCTAATAAGTTTTGTTCACCAACAGGACTGCTGTTACCTGATTTTCAACCAACAGTTAGAACATCGTTTCCAACCATGGACAGCTCTGGCCCTACCCCAGTCTGTGAAGACTTAAGACTCCCCAGTGCCCAGCTAGAAATGCTGAGTGTGGAGGAAGGGGGCTTAGAAGGGAGGGAAGAAGACCCCACAAGCCTTCTTAAAAAATTTTCCATTTCTTGTCCCACCACAGCAGAATAAACTAGTGTCAAGCTAATAAGAAACACTGTAAGTAACAGCTACGAAGGAACGAGGGCTACTACTTTGTATTTCTAAATTAGCCTTTCATCATGACTCCATACTGCAGAGGTCTGAATTCCCTTTGGGCTGTAATATATACCATGTCCTCGGCCGTGGCCACACTGAAAGCATTAAGAAGAGTTTTCCGTAAGAGCACGCCTTTTGAATTAGGTTTCAGTAGCTATACCTTACAGATAATTTCCGTTCTGTTTTTTTCCCCTGAAACAATAGTTATTAAAGACCGGGAAACACAGTGTCCCTGACAGAGAGCACCAGCTCCTTGGAACATCCGGCTGCATATCGGAGCACACTGCGTGTATCTGCACCTTTAACCCACATTTCACTGTAACTGGACATCCAGATGGTTTCAAAGGAACCATTCTGTCCCCCTCTCTCAGTAAGTGTCTTAAAAACTATCTCTAAATCTGTACTATACATCCATCACACCAGTCCCAGAAGCTCTAAAATTCAGTGCTCAAGTCCAGAGAAAAATCTGCTCAAAGCACGTTATCATTCGTACAGCAAAATCTCCACTGCTTTGAAATATGCTTAAGCTTCAAATGGAAGGACCTAAGAATACTATCATTTCCTTCCAGATGAAATTACTCTATAATTATAAATTATTTAAGGGGTATTAAAATCACAGACTGTTGTTTTCGGCAGTACTGTCACTAATAACAACAAAAGCCTGAGCTAATCTACATGATGGTTACCATGACTATAGAAAGCCTACAGGCAAAATAAATTATCCTTAACTTTATCTCTATATAACCTGCATCTGCATACCAGTAACCAGTATTTTAAAATAATTCCCATGCACACTTTTTAGTTTTACTTCTTTGAATTTAAAGCAGTAAAAGGTGTCTTAACAAAGATTCCATGATGGACGTGAAATTTCACAGTGTAGAAAATCTCTATGAGACCATATCATGTTTTTTAAGATCTTAATTATCAATATGTAAATATTTATATCACCGCCTGCCTCGCAAGCCGTAGGTCCTGAGTTCGATCCCTGGTACAAAAAAAATTTTTTTTAATGTCTTATGCAAATAGAGGTCTCTGTTAAACTAGGATGCTTCTTCAATGACCGTCTAGTTTAAGTACATAGCACTGAATGCTTCAAACCTAAGTTCTTAGGTTCTTAGCTCGAATAGCAATCACTCACCTCACTTTAACCATCACAAGCAAACATATTCACCAGACAAAAAACAAAAGTCAGTGGTTGTCACATTAAAAAGATTCAACGCGCACATAAAAAGAGCAATGTGTTTTATGAAGTCTAGTATGAAACATCATAGAACCCTATAACTGCCACAACTGTTCTTTGCCACTGAGCAAATCAGGCTTTGGGTTATGCCTGTTTGACTATGGAAATGAATTTCATGAACTCTGTGACACCTTGGTGCTCAGATCAGCTAGCAGAGAGCCAGCATCCTATAAAACTGCTTCCCCCATAAAATTGAAAGATGACTGTAACTGGAGAGAAGAAGCAGGACAGGAGGCGAAGAACAAAAGGAATTCTAATTCTCCATTACTTCTACCTTGGAGCTAGGAGCCAGAAGTTACCATGATCCCTTCCTCTAATCCAGTACAGCAGCAAGGATGTGAAGGGTAGTAAATGGGGGACGATCAGTCAGGCTTTTTTTTTTTTTTTTTTTTTTTTTTTTTTTGGTTGAAATGTGTTTTTGTAGAAAGAACTGCACGGATGTGCCATTTTAACTCTTTAAGATTCACACTAATAAAACCCAAGAACAACCATATTTTCTTGTCCCCTTTAAAAACATGAAAAGAGAAGTTTTACTACCTTTAAAATCTTATATTACCACCTTCATTATAACAATAAAAGCTGCATTATTTCTGATCCTTACTAACCCTATGTAGTCCATATTACTTTGAGAGTCAGACTAAATGACAGAGCTGAGATTTGTAGAAGGCCTGATTCATGCTACTTCATCTAAAAAGTCTTTCTCATTTAATCAAAAGAATACATTACACACACATATGTATTACATATTAGTTCAGCATGAGAAGGGAACCAGAAAGTGCAACAATGATGTGGGAATTATCATTTGAATATAGTTAACAAATGTAAAAATGCTTAGTTCCTAAGAGCCTCTTAAACTTTTGCCCAGAGATTTTCAGAAGCTAATTGTACGTTATTAAACATAGGTCATTTAAATATCACCTCTTTATTGTTTAAATTGAATGAGCTCTTCCATTTACCAGTTCCAGGAGTCTTGGGGGGAAGTTATTTCAAGTATATTTTGCCGTGAAACAAACTGCCCACTGTTTAAAACAACAACCATTACATACTGGTTGGCTCCTAGGCTGTAGGCTCTCCAGCTTCAGCTGAGTGGTTCTTCTGCTCCACTGGTGCCTGCTGGGGCTACAATCAGCTGAACACGTGATCTGGCTGAACCATCCAAGATGGCTATGTGTGAGTGGCCACGGAAGCCAGGTGGCAGCTGGGAGTTTGGCTGGATGCGCTAATATGCGGGCTCTCTATGTGACTTGACCTTCGGCAGCAAGGTGGCCAGTTCTAAGAGGAACATTCCTCTTGAGAGAGAGGAAGCACAAGTTGCCAAACTTGCAATAGACTGGACAAGGATGTGGCTGAAGTTACTGTATCGTATATACAGGTTTAGCAATCAAGATGGCAGCTAGTTTAGACCCAGCCCAGGAGTCACAAATCCTGATGGAGAACGTTACAAAGAGTTTCCCTGCCACACGTAATCCACCATTAAAGGTAAGGAAGTAAGTGCTGTAAATCAACTGGGCTAACAAGAGACACAGTAATGTAGAATACAATTGGCAGATCCAATTCAAACACACTCGTGTTTCTGATCTACCGTCATAATACTTCACATTTCTTCTAAGCCAGATTCAATGAAGAAAACAGCCCATCAAAGCAACCAGTAAAAATAGGTAAACTCCTCTGCTACTTCAACGTAAGCTAGGCTGTACAGTTGTGCATTACTTTTGTGTATTTATAAATATGTAACAGTTGCAGCAGATGAAAAGGCATAGTAAATGCCATTGGCTTTTGAGAATATTTACCCAATCGTCTTCTTTTACCTCCTCTTCCTTTTCTTTCTTGCTAAACCTAGCTGTACAATCCACTGAATGCATGTGTATTGTTCACTTCTACCTTTAACTGAGACTAAATTACCCAGATTACAGAACCTTTACCAAATTGGCAAGTGTTTTTTTAAAATATCCATTTATCTACCCAAAATACCATGTGTGTGGCCTTCCATATTTTAAGAAATCTTTTAATGTTCAGTAAAGATACTTCTTTAGCAAACTTCTTGATTATTCCCAAATATACCTTGTATGAATTTAGCCTGTTCTACTAAAACAGTTATCCCAAAAGTGTTTAATTCTCACTAATCACAGATCTTCTCAGTGGGTAGGTTTGAAATAAATCAATATTTAATTGCTTTTTCCTGTACTTCTCTCTCCATTGAAACAACAAAGTTCTCTAAGGGCAAGCTAAATCCAAGAGTTGTCTGACGTTTTTCTATATTATTTACAATACTGACTGAATAAGGAGGAAGTCATTTCACTTTACTGGGCAAGAATTTTCTGCCCACTTTGAAGGGGAATCAAGACTCCATATTTGATTCTTACCCACTTAAAATGTTCTTGGGGAAGACAATTTTACCTAATATTAAGAATTATTTTGTGAGCTCTTGTATCACATGCTTGGTATTGATTGTGCTTCTGTGTTCTCACTTTGTAACACAATGATCAAGTTACTCTGGTACATTTTGTTCTTTATGGGTTTAATCTTTTGCCACTCAAGATAAAGTAAATGACCTCAAGGCTGAGAATGTCATGTAGAATATTGTTATATATTACAAATTATAATGAGTTTACTTTTCTAGAGAGTTTGGTTCGCAAGAACCTATTAAGTTCTCATTCATTGTAAGTAAAGTCTTTAGCTAGGAAACATGTTTTTGTCTGCATGAAGATTTTAAATTTTTACTTTTTTACTTTTTTTTTTTTTTGGTACTGGAGATTGAACTCAGGACTTTGGGCTTGCGAGGCAGGAGGCAGCACCACTGAGCTAAGACCCTGGCCCTGTTTTACATTGTGTGCATTTTTACAGGATAAAATG